GCCACCACTGGCGCAGTCCCGGTATTTTGGCCATATCTTCTTCGTTACTTAACGAAATCGCAAGCCGTTTGTTGGGCTGGATTTGTATCGTCCGGGGATACAACTTTGGATCAGAAAGTATTTCGAGATAATGGATGGAAAATTTCAGTTTTTACCTGAAAGTGGACTGATGTGTTTTGGTTTCAGGATTTTGAGACTTTATGATTTTTCTTCTTGCTTCTTCTTCTTCTGCCTTGAACCAACTATGGAGTTTAAGCTTCCTTTTCTTCTCTGCTTGTTGGTTTATACGAGAGAGATGGTGAGGAGGAGAGATGATGGGTGATGTTGGATGGTGGAGAATGATGATGACGTTGATGATAATTATGATGGTGGTGGAGTCATTATATGGAATAGCTTGGATTGTTGTGGTGTAGTGGGTTTCTTAGGTGGATGGTTGAAACAAGAGGGAGGCTACGGAGATTTGGAAGAGATTTGAGAATTAAGTTTTGGTTTTTAGCCAAAACTGAACAATTTACTTTAAACGGTACGCGCTTTTTCGCCCAAACTGTTCCGAATTGAAAACGGATTGTAGTTTTGGAATCAGACTATCAAAACTAGAATTTTAACGTAATCAAAATATTTTTCTCAGAACTTTTATTTTCTCAGTGTTCGAGTCTGTCTCAGTTATAAATTAATTTAATAATATAAATGATATAAAAATATATGAATTTAATTAAAATGATAAATATGGTGTTGTCAAATGTCAAAGATTTAGATTTCTAATCTTAGGAAATCTCTTTTGAATTGAGTTTATTTTATGAGTCAAAGTTACAATTTTTTAATATTTAAAATCGTCATAGTTTGAAATTTATAAATCAGATTGGTTCAAAGAATGTACTGTTGAATTCGTCTCTTCAAGACATATCCATAAAAATAAGTTTTTAACAAAAATTCATTATTTTGAAAATCCCTTCATTTTTTTGGTCAAACGTAAAATATTTTTTTATTGAATCAAAATGATATTCAAAATTACTTTTGTTTTATAATAAATTTTAGACTTTATTTTGTGGCGTTACACGACCTATCTTCGGAAGTCTCTTGGTGGAAGGCCGGCCGGGGATGGTCTGAGGACGACCGACCCGGTCGAGGCTGAGCGTGTGCTGCTGCCGGGCTGGCCTTCCGTGGCCCTTTATCTATTCTTGTTTTGGTTCGCTAAGTGGGCCTGAGCGAAATTGGGCTGGGCCGCTCTTCTGTTGGGCCAGATACCCCTATTCCCGAATATCCATCAGACGGCAATGGAGAAAGCCTGATGGGAAGAAAAGAAATTCTAGGTTTATGGTGAAAATCTCGGTAGTAGAGAAGGTTTATGGTGAAAATCTCGCATTTTTGCATCTCACCATACACCTTCTCTGGATCAACACTCTCCCTACACCTCTAAACCCCCTTCTTTTTCTTCCCTCCTCTTCTCTCCATTTGTATCTCTACCTCACTCTCTCCTTTTCTCTTTTTTGCTCTTATTTCTTTTAAAACTTTTTCATCTCATTTTTATCTTGGCCTACTTTTTCAAAATCTTCTATTCTATTTTCTTTTTCAAAATTTCTTTCTTGATTTCAGGTCTCCACTTCTCTTTTTCCCTTGTCTAAGACTTCTTAGCAAGCGTCTTCTTTCCTCTCTCTTCTTTCATTACCATATTTCTCCTTTTTCAATTTTTTTTATTTTCCCCTTCATCTTTAAAAACTCCATATCTCCTCTTTTGCCTTCTTTCACAATCTCTTTCTTTTTCTAAAACTTTTCTGTTTCTTCCTGTCCTTTTCTTTCCTTTGACCGCTCATCCTCTTTCCTTTCTAAACACTTCTTTTTCTCTAGGAGAGATGTTGATCCTTAGGTCTCAATGTCCTCTTTGGATGTTGAGGTCCATCAAACACAATGCCATCTGCATTTTCAAGCACAAACAGCTGAAGACGAAAGCAACACATGGCAAAAATATTAAAAATCTCAAGACAAGACTTGGTTTAGAACTGTTGTAATTTGGATTATATTTTGTTTAAGAGTTTTTGTTAACAAGCTGTATGTTATGAGAAACTAAAAGAATGTTATAAAATTAGTTCTCAGTACAGCGACTGGAACTCTTAAACACTTGTTTGTCATCATCGAAAAAGAGGAAATTGTTGGGAAAAATTATAGATTTTGATGATGATGTATTTAGATTGTAATAGGGACTCTAGGTCCCTGCCCATTATTCAATGTTCCATTTTGAGTTTGTACCTTGAACACTTACCAAATTCAGTGATGTGGAAATTGGAACTTTCGCTCGGAAATGTCAGAGACAAGAAAGGAATTCTCAAAGTAGTTGTTTACTTTGGAATTCTCAAAACTGGAATGCTCATTGATACCTGGAAGTCTCGCTACAATCCGCTGAAGGCTTAGTCATCAGGATCGGAAGACTAGTGCGGATCACTTTCTCACCCGGAAGTCTAAGAATGACTTATCCGGAACTTTCAAGCTAAGAACCAGATGTCTCAAGGTGGACCGGAACTCTCAGAAGTGGACAAGTGAGAAAAGACTTGGAAATTTTATCTAAGTCCTGAATGAAGAAATTCTACCCGTTGGTAAGGAAAAATCAATTTCTTGATTTTCAACGGCTAAATTGAGAATAATTAATCTGATTCAAGAACAAATTACATGAAGACAAAGTCTGGACTCCTCAAATTGAAGAGCACGGCCAGAATTCTTGAACAAACACAAGAAGACAAAATGGGTACTCCACTCAATAAAGATCTACAGTCAGGATTCTTGAACAACAGCTAGAGGACGAATTCTGTGGAAAAGGAATCCCTCTTCAAACAATTGGGTATGTCCAAACACCCACTCCAAGGAGAATCCTCAATCTCCCTCTTCCTTCAAATTGAAGCCAGCAAATGCAACGGATAGTCTACTCTCTTCAACGGACAGATTAACTATCCAGCATATATATATAGCTCCCATGGAAGATTAAAGGAGATATACAAGAGAAATACAACAATATATACGACGAACGAACAACTAACAAAGTCATCTCATTCACAGTTAGCCAAAAAGCTTGATAAAGAGAGATTTCTAAACTCCTTATCTAGAAGCAAACTTCTTCGAAGGAGAAACAAAGCCAGCATGAGTGCAGTAGCAATATTGTCCTTGCGAAGATATATCGTGCAAAAATTCACAAAGTGTAATTGTTGGTTCATTATTCAACAACCAACTACATAGTGGATTTTGAGGACGTAGAAGGATTACCCCACCTTCGAACCTCGTTAAAGTTTGTGTGTCTCTCTCTCTTATCTTTACTTATACTTGTGTTTATATTAACTCTGAAAACTAACCCATCCATATTGATTACTGCTCCATCAACCCACCAACTTCCGCACATAATCTAAGTTCACAAGAACCTTAGATTAACACTCATTTCACGTTTTCAAAAGAAACAAAAAAGTTTTAAATTTGTAACAAAGTCTATTCACCCCCCATCTAGACTTTGTATCTCACCACTTAGCTAGGGCTTCAAACCTTCAATTTTACATTTTTAAATATACATCTTCTAAAACTAAATTAATAAAATTTAATTATTTTATTATTTAATTATATTGAAACAAGAATACTTAAAAAAATACATTCATTAAATTTAAAGAAATTGAAACGGCAATAATTTTAAAAAATTACATTCATTAAAATAAAAAAAAGAAAGCGACAATAATAAAAAAATACATTAATAAAAAAACTAAGGTAAATTATATTTGGCCTTGATCTCTTTGTCTTCTCTCAAAGATCATACGTTTGAACGCCGATAACGTAGAAAGGTCGGTTTTCCTGATTTTGATCTCGTCCTTCTCTTCCTTTCGCTTCATCCTCTCTTCTTCTCGAATATTGAACACCTGAAGTTCAACCATTGCCCGACTGATATCGTCCCGAGAAGAAACAAAAATAGAGCCAGACCCTCCGGAACATAAGGCAATGGATTTTGCCTTCTTTCTTCCGATCAGCCACGGAATGGGGTCTTCGTCATCGGAATCCACAACGTTGA